ATGGGTAAACATTTTCTAGTTTGGCCAGTCTGTGAAACATAATCTAGCTGGGCACCATGTAAACAAGTAAATAGCATGAATCACAGTTAACAACGAGTTCCTTTATAAACTGACCGTTTTATCAAACTGCCGGCTATATTGATTTACTTTGTTCAAATTCAATAGGACTTTATTTCAATTTGCAATGCAGCATTGAACACAATTCCTGCAGATTTGTGAAGAATATTGTGGGTGCTTTCAGAACGAAACTTTACACAAGTCTAGAAACTGTTTCCCTGTTGTTACTTAATTAAACTACAAAATTATGTATGTATGTATAACAGTTGACTCCGTTCAAATACAACGGGAAATCTAAAAATAATGGCTGTATTTTTATTTATCAAATCACAAAATAACGGCAAATTATGTGTATGTGCATGTTATGTGTCACAATAAATGTTATCATTCACATAGAATAATCCTACACTACCGGTATCAGTTTCTGTAACTGGTTCACGGTAAAATAAGTGCAAGTTTAAGGTTATCTTGCACATAATAGTTTTTAATAGGTGAGTGAACGTTGAAGAGCGTTCAACTGCGATAAAAGGTTATGCAAATTTAAAGGTACATAATAATTTATTTAGTGATCGATAATAACCTCTTATGTAATAGACCAACTACCACTTTAAAAAAAAAAATATTTTTTTCTTCCTAACATAAATCAATCTTCAATATGTACAAATCTATATTTTTATANTATATATATATATATATATATATATTGGTATATACCAGTTTTGGCGGTCGCTGTCGATGGCTGTCTCTCCGGCAGTTCTGACTTAGTGTAAAGGGTTTCCACAGGGGTCCGTTTTGGGCCCGATTCTTTTCACAATGTATACCAGGCCACTGCTCGCCTTGCTCGGGAAGCTTGCTGTGGAGAGCCAGTCATTCGCAGATGACACACAGCTATACAAGCATACTCATCAATCTCTTGTTGATTCTGCTATCCGGACTTTGCTGGAGAGCATTGATGATGTCAATACATGGATGACACTCAGCAAAATGATGCTTAACGATGACAAACCGGAAACACTACTTATTCACGATCAGAAATTATCCTTTAACTCAGCTTTCCCCACTTCATTTCAAGTCGGGGACTCCGATGTACAGTTTACAATCGCTGCCAGGAATCTTGGTTATCTAATAAACAACAAGTCTCATGATAATCATATATATCTCTCACATTTGTCGCTCTGCATACACCACTATTCGTGGTCAGATCAGCTCCATCCGCCAATACCTCACAGTTTGTGCAACAGAAACCCTAGTCTGTGCTCTAATTTTCTCTCGTCTTGTTGACTATTTTAACTTTCTTTTATCAGGTTCACCAAAATACTTCTTAGAAAAATTACAAAAAAGTTCAAAACTCAGCCGCTATGCTAATTCTAAAGGCTAAAAAAAACTTGATCGCGTCACACCACTACCTCATTCACTTCATTGGCTCCTTGTACAAGCACGGATTGACTACAAACTCTCTGTTATCCGCCACAATTTTTTCTCGATTCCTTCTTTTCCTATCTAACCGAACTTCTCTCTGTCTTTTCACCCCTTCGACAGCTTCGCTCATCCGAATATGCGCGTATTCTATCTGTCCCCAAGACTCGCACAAAAACATACGGTGAACGATCGTTCTTTTCTGTGCCCCCAAAAAATGGAATTCTCTTCCATTACACATCCGCAATATGCCGACGATCAGAGCCTTCAAAACTGCACTCAAAACACATCTGTTTAAACTCTATTATCCTGACTGATTCCCACCTCTGACCGAAAAACGAGCCTACTGGGTGTCGTCCATGGCTTGACATGTAAAATAGTTTGAAATATTGTAGAGAGTTCAGCCCAGGTGTTTGGCTAATTGACAGTGGTCGCAGGTAAATTAAAACGTGGCATGCACAGGGCAGGGATGAGGGGTAAAACCCATGGTCGGAAACTGGCGAATCACACGCGCATAAGATTGTAGCAGACGCCACAGACCCAGAAAACTACGCGTTAAACAGGAAATTAGTATAAATCAAGACTTTAGAAGGCAGGGGAGGTAATAAGGCAGGTGTGAGAGGGAAAACAAAGGGTGCCAAGACTGACCATCAAGCACGAGCGTGACGGTGGCACTAAGATAATTGGCCTTAGAATTAGAATAGCACTGAGAAGTAATCTCTTGGGGACACTTCGGTCGGCTCGTGGAGCTATCAGAGGGGATGGTTAGATTTGAGATGGAGTTAAACATGTACTAAGGAGAGTAAAGCAGAGACAAGCCAAGAGAAGCCGAGTACGCTGAGTGAGCGAAGCTGGAGAGAGTTAGTCGGACGCAGGGCTTGCCGGACAGTCTAGCGGCCAGAATAGGCATGAGAAGATACTAACCAGGGACGGTCAGGGCAGAAGTGCAAAGTCTTGATTGTCGATCAGAGCCAATAAAGTGGAAGTCTAAAAGTCAATGTGGGTTGCAGCAAAAGAGAAAGAGTGAAAGAGGTTACCATCCAAAGAAAATAGATTGAGAAACGAGTTGAGCTAAGGTCGATTTCCTTACAATATACATTTGTTTTTTTTTATTTAATGTCTGTATGTCTATAAAGTTTTTAAGTTTTTGTTTTTGTTTATGTTTGTTAAATTGTATGTACAGCATAGTGACCCCAGCTCTAGGCTAGGGCACCACGCTATATAAAACTACTTATAATAATAATACATATAAAAATATAAATTATATATATATATATAATGAATATATATATATATATATATACACACACACATTATTATATAATATTCTCTAATAATATGTAAATATAAATATGTATATATGTATTTCTATTTTCTTTGGAAAATTTGAACTGACGGTAGTGCTCTCCAATAACATTACCTAATTATATGAAAGAAAGCACAGTTAGTTACATTAAAACCAATATGAACTACTATTGCAGCTATTAAAAATGTGTTGCTTTAGTTCATTTCATTTTTCCAAATTATACCTAATCAAAACAGATCTCAATATACGTTTATACATGTATGCATCCACCAACAATGTCTGATATCCCATTGCGATTATATTAATTAAAAAACTGTTGGTAAATATGATGCATTTCGTGCTGGTTATATTTTAAATTTAAATACTGCTCAAATGTAAGATTCTTTTACGTCTTGGAAGTCGTTTCTTGGATCAATGTCTCAAGCCCATTTTAAGATATTTATATATTATATCTATATGAACATCCATCTTTTTCATCACGATAAGCTCACTATCAAATCAATTAGTTTAGAATAGCCTGTTAAAAGCTTTCTGGCCTCCGTGTCCCAAATGAAGTGCGATGGGCGCTCCTTGCCATAACATCATCTTCTTCTGCCAATGTCCAATCTCCTGAAGATATCATGCCACATAACACAGAGGTCCCCATTAGTGGCTCCATGGGGAACCGCCGCTAACCATTAGACATGTTTACATAATTTTATTTCTACTCTAACTTGAACGTCACAGAATTGGTCATCTGACCCATCTGTTGCTACACAGTAAATGTTATAGTAGCATGTCTTTGCAGAAGTCTATCTGTAAGCACAAATACGTTTAACTATTTCTTTAAATAAAAGACAGTTGTGCAATGCACATGTTAAACTTTGACGATATGTGTCTTAAGAGTAAACAGATTCAGCAGGATTATCGATTTTTTTTTAAAGTGAAAATTGCTGCGTTATATTATTTCAACGCCCTGGTTGATCTTGAGTTGCAGATCAGGAGAGGTAAAGCCCTGAAATCAAACCGGGAGATGGAGTCCTGTAGGTAGAATGACATGGACACAATGCTAGAGAACGCAAACATTTCACACACACTCTCTGCTGGTCATCACCTGCTTTCTAGTCTATTTCCAGTCATCTAAGTCTTGCCATTAAAACAAATGGGCAAGGACAAGAGAGTGGGTTAGCTCTCCCTCACTTCAAACAAAATACTGCTCAAGTCAGGGCCATTGCTTGATTAAAAAAAAAGGACAAATAAAAGGTAGTTTTATGTTTTTGTTACTCAAATTTATTAAAAGTAAAATTCTATAATTTTATAAGATCGTAACTTGAACATTAAACACAGTTTTTATTTTAATGTTTGTTATAGTATACAATCGTAATAACTTTGGGACATCATGTCGAAGTAAATCGTTATTTAAATTGTAGTGGCAAGTCCGTAACCCAGGAAAAGTGACCCAGCAATACACATATTAAAAATGCTCAAGGGGCAGACCATTCAAACGTGCAAAGGTTTTCGCCCTTTGTGTTTGTGTGAAGTTGACTGGATTTGTTTTTTTCTTCCTCTATTTGTCTGTTAAGCTCCAATCTAAATACGATTTTGGCGCCCGTGGCGACAAGCCCCTTCGCCCTTACCGATGCATGACCCTGTTTATAAACTGGCAGAGTACAGTTTCTGTTATAGTACTACAGTTCCTCCTTTATGTTTTAGTCTTAACTTTGAGTCATCCTAACTTTAAACTTTATGGTGTATACTTAAATTTAAAGAAGGAAGTAATTTAATGATCATTGTTTTTTTTGTTTTTTTCAGAGAGACAAAAATAATTAAACAGCTAAATAGCATGAGTGTGTCTAAATAGTGTATTCATTTAAAGACAAGTTGTTTAACAGTCTTAGTTGTCTTACTTGATCGATCATTATATGTAGTGAGTTGGGTTGTTTTTTGTTTTGCTTTAAACATTATCAAGAATAGGAATGTCCATTCACTACGAACATTTAAGGTATGTTGTATACCAATGGCTCTATTTTGTCGTCATTGTTTTACTTGCTAAAGATACGCAGTGACGATTAAATAACCCAATGTTTCAACTAAAAAAGTCATGAAAAAAAGGCTGTGCAGACGTAACTAACGTTTGTGATGTGTCGAGTAGTGCCGGGATTTGAAAAGAATTTAACTTGATTTATACAAAAGTAAAAATGTGTAGAAAAATAATAACACGGGCTGTTACTGGATAAGTCTTAATAAATACAAATTTAGTTCAAATCACGATGTTTGTGTTGATGACAAAGGCATGGATATCTCAGTTGATTCTATACTTTTCACTCGTCCATACTATATTATGTCAAGGTAGGTAATGAATTGACTCTTTTTATACACACTATTTCTACGATGTTTTGTTCATTCTTTTTTATTCCTTTAGTTTCAAGATTTGATTGCATTTGCTTTGAAATATCTCAGTATTATTATAACTATAATGCCGATAAAAAAACACATGGGTTACTGACCTTGCGTACAAAGAGTTTGACCACAGTTAACGATATGTGCATTAGTGTCAGTATCGAGAACACATCTACTTTGGGTTAACTTAGGACATTCTGCAGTTTGACATCTGATTTTGGAACATGTCAAATGAAACTAAAATGAACACCAATTAATTGATACACAATGAAAATATATAAAAAAAAGTAAATTCCTCTTTTGAAAAAAGAGTCTGTTTAACATTTTGTACAAGTCATGGTTCCCCAACAAAAGGGCGGCAGGATTATACCATTGCGCGGCTCTAAAGGGTATAGGAGAACACGATGACATGAAGCGATTTTTTTCGGTTTAAAACATGTTTTTATTTTATTTGAATCAAACTCAACATCCGCGCCTTGGTACATGGAAACATAACAAAGAAAAATCAACAATAAACGATATTAAACAAAACCTATCTCTTATTTACAAAAAAAAAAAATCGAAATCTGGTGCCAATGATAAATTTAAAAAAAAGTGTATAGGTATCCATGAATCAATGATAAATGTTCAACTTTTCAGAAAAAGGTTGCATAATTTTTGGTATATATTTAAAATTTGTTCAGCTTGGTTTACATGAAATCTCTTTATTTTCTTTTAAAGATGACATTGCCTGGTGTGATGATACTTTGTCAATGTCGACAATTGACGTCCAATTGGGACACTCGGCCACGTCTTCGGTTTGTGTCCGCAATAAGAAGAATGTGAGCCACCATGTCTCTATCAACAGCAAACGGATCATTCCGGGGTCAGTATCGCAGTACAGATTGGTCGTGACGAGGGTTGGTGACAATGACATCAACACCATCGAGTTGGCCAACGTTACCAAGGATACAGTGAAGTATCTGAAGTTAAAGATCACGTTTGCAACGGGATTTGAGCTAAACAGAAGAATCAACCTTAATATTACAGGTGCTTATGGATTTGAAATATTTACTTTTTTAAAGCTAGGTAATGAAAAGTTGTCCTGCGATAAGATGTTTCTTAAGAAGACAATATTTTGCTACGTGAACGGAGGTGGAGACTCGTTAGTCAAGCTAATTTAGAATGTTAAACGCATAGTGTGTGTAAAACAAATTTTTACTTTTATTCAATCAGGTGAAGTAGATTCCATAAAATTATATATGCACAAAATAATTTCTTTTGACTGAATTTTTAAATACAAGATTTTTTAAAATCATTTCATAAATAATTGATAATTATTGTTTATAATATTAATATATGAACATTATTTTATCTTATCTAACACTGTATAACGCTTGCAGGAAAACTTCAAGTGTGTGATAATGAGACTTTGGCTCAAAATGTCTCAGTCGTTATTGGCATGAGATCCACTGTGTTTTTTTGCGTTACATCGGAGTTCGGCCAGTCAACACACGTAGCTTTGAATAACATCTCTTTACCCATCAACTTTTTCAACCGCCAAACGAAATACGTTGTATCCATGTACAAAAGAAACGTTGGTGGGGACGCTGACTATTACTTTAACTTGTTCATACGAAACATCACTCGCAAAGACATCGGTACACATCTTTTATGTATCAAGCCTACATCATACAGATATATCTACATCAGATTCAACCTTTATTTAAAACATGGTACGTTAGAAAGCTTTGCAAAAAAACATGTTTTGAAATGTATTGAAGATATTCGTTTATCGTTTGTTTATTTGGACGATATACAACATAGAACTTGTAGGTATTTATCATTTATTTTTAGGATAAATTTATTTGAACTTTGAACAGATTTAACTTTTTAATGTTTATTGTTAATAAAATGAGGTAGGCTACTCCTTTTTAAACATAAATAATCATACGAAAATATATTGGGCGAGCAATCATAAAGACAATAGTAATATTTTAAAAAAATGTTTTGGACAATTTAAACCAGTTAAAATAATGAAGGTATCAATATCGAACCTAAACAATAAATTGTATTTTACTTCACAGATAATGATCCAGACTTCTGCAGAGAAGCCAAACCAAATATGATATATTTTCCGAAGAAGGAAGCTCCTTTTAAAATCAGTTTATGCGTTAAATCAGTATACAAAGATTCTCTCGAGAAAGTATACGTTAACAACAGAATGATACAACTGAACAACACGAATGCAAAGATTTACTACACAGTTGTTACGTCCAGTAATGGGGAGCCCATCGCAGTGGAATTCAACATGGACACCATTAAGGATGACGACCTGACAAGATATGCTGTCATTCTGATTTTCACAGGATCGAAGCAATTAACATATACTTTTTACCTGCGAAATGCTGCAGGTAACATGGCTCTTAACGATGCATATAAATAATACATTAATTTTAGTAACATTTAAAAGGCAGTATTATGAGATTTACTATAGAACGTACAAGCATTTTTTCCTCCATTAAAAGGATTTACTCAATACAAAAAGTTATCTAAGAAACAAAAATTGGACTTAAGACTTTATAAAAAGTATACGTTCTCTGGGCAAGGGAAATCTTATCTGCTTAAATACATGAAAACTTTCTTCAATGAGTCACACAGATGAGAATATATCAATCTGCCGAATTTGCATTTTGTTTTTGTTTGTTAGCTTCTTAAGCCTGTAGCTAAGCATAGTTCACTAGTTGGTCATGAATTTGTATAAGATCGGTGCAAAATTGCTACTAGCAGAAATGTTAAGCACCATTTTTGTAATCTCCACCAGAAACCACAGAAAATGTTTGCTTCCTTGGAGCTACACATAAAGTCGTCTACGCCCAACTTGGTGATTCACCAGCGGTATGCGTTCATACATACGGTGTCCTACAGGACGACGTCATGATCGATAACACCACGCACGTCATCGACAGTGACGTCACCGCAACGAAACTAAACGTGTCACACGTTTGGAGTGGAGAGTTGAGCTCTTCTTATATCGAAATCAAGATTGTCAACGTCAGCCTGGGTGACTGCAAGAGATATGACGTCAGAGTGACACACTTGGACAGGAACTACTCGTTCGAAGTGAAAATGAAACGAGGTTAGAACAGACAAATGATCACAAATAATAATTATCTTAATTCTTGGATAGGTCTGTAAAAGCTGTGTGCGATGGGTACACAAATTAGTACATCACAGGAGTTAGACTTATTTGCTGACTTTTGATGAAGTGCGTTGCTCAAACTCATGTTTTGCCAAGTAGCGTTAGCTGATGTGAGGTTCACGTATCGTCACCGCCACAATAGTGTTAATAAAGGATTTTCGTAGAAACATATATTGTTTTTCATCGACATTATACAGATGAAGACAAATTACACAATTTAAATTTTCATAAACTGTTTCGTCACAGGATTACATTGTTGGGTAAAACGTCCCGGGATTACATTGTTGGGTAAAACGTCACGGGATTACATTGTTGGGTAAAACGTCACGGGATTACATTGTTGGGTAAAACGTCACGGGATTACATTGTTTGGGTAAAGCGTGACGGGATTACATTGTTGGGTAAAACGTCACGGGATTACATTGTTGGGTAAAACGTCACGGGATTACATTGTTGGGTAAAACGTCACGGGATTACATTGTTGGGTAAAACGTCACGGGATTACATTGTTGGTTAAAACAAAAATGATGGTATTGAATTAAAGGAAACGCTATGTTTGTGCTAGAGAGCAGATCAGGGGTTCTCAAGTTGATGGGTTTACGTGAAAAGCCTTGAGAAATCCATGAGCTGTATTTCCATAGTAAGTTTTAATATTTTATTTTATTTAATTGTGTCCCGAGGCTTTCTCTGACTTGCTAACGTATCACTTTCAAACATCATGTTAAGAATCCCTTTGTGTAAAGGTAGCGTTTTTCTGTGTTATTTGGGGTAAATTAAAAGACGTATTAAGGATAACCATATGTGAAATACTCAGCTACTACAAAATCAATAATTAATTTGCTATTTGGCTTCTCTCAGGGCCACCACGGATAAGATCGTTCAGGGTTGATCAAAGTCCACTGCTTACACTTCACAATAATGTTACAGTGTACGTTTTGACAAAAGGCTACAATGTAATCCAGACTTGTGAAGCTGAGTTCACCAACCAGACATTTCAACTGTCCATCACGAAGGGTGAATTGACGACACTTAACACGACTGAAAATAAGGTGCTCCTGACGTATGGCGTTGAAGAAGTTAAGTGTAACGACAGTGGTGCCTACTACTGTACGGCACACGCCAACACAAGCGCAGAATCGACAGCATCAATGCTAGGACTCGCTGTTCTTGATTGTACGCTCTAGAAGTATTTTAAAACTATGTAGTAGAATAATTAATTGTATCTCTTTTTCGATTTTAAATGCTGATTTTACGTAAATTATATGATTCATTTTTTTTGCTTGCAAATTTCATCGGTGTTATGATTTGGCTCGTTAAATGAACAATACGTAACAATTGTTCTTAAAAACAGTGGACCAAAAAAAAAATAATAAAAAAAATTAATAAAAGATACCAAATTGGTTCATATTAACAATATTCAGTTTAGTTTTACTATCAAATGGATATAAAAACACAACTCAAGTATCTAGATCAAAATATGTTCACTTACAGAAAGTGAAAAAGTATAATGCTTAGAAAATACAAATATTAATTTAGACACACATAGAGGAACATCTCGTAAGGCGCCAATAAGTAAGGTACGTCTGGTAAATGACTTTTTAAAAACCTATCTCGGCTGGACTACTGGCGACCTTTTGAATAGGTATGAAGATAGAACACTTCAGAAAAGAATTTGTGAAAATTGCATCACCCGATAGCATTCTTTAGAGCAAGTAGAACTGAAACATCTTTTTTTTTTTCCAATTAAGTTAGAGTTGGCTTTGAACAGCTCTACACCTTTAGTAAAAAACGTCATTATCAAAAGAAATATAAGGGAGAGGCAAGTGGTAAAGCCTCATCTCTACGTTGAAAAAATTAGGTCAGCACAAATGCTTTAATAGTGACAAATGCAAATATATTATATAATATACGATAAGGTTTTATTAAAAAGCATATTGTTTTGTTGTTAAGAAGAAAACTAATTAAAAAAAATAGATTTACATGCAAATATAGATCTAAACTATTTAAACAATTCTTCAGTATCAATATTATGATAAATCTATACTGATCAACCTCTACGTACTTTTCAATTATCTTAATTATGAGCACGTATTTATTAATTGGGTTGAAGAAGGTACTATTTGGATATTGGTGTTTTAGCTGATCTAATCATAATGCACTAAAAAGAATATTGATACATTGTTACACAGTCTTCTTTCATGAAATAAAATCGAATCTGTGTCAAGGTCCACCTCTTCTTTGTGACAACACAGACGTCACCCAAGACCACGTCAAATCCGTTGGGGACGCCTTCTTCTTGCCCCTCTGTGTCAAAGCGTACGTCCATACCAACCTGACGGTAACATGGAACGGACTGATCTTATCAACTTCCCCGAACAGCTCCCACCGTTTCCAACTCAAACGTTCCCGCCGTCTGCTGGAGTGGGATGTCGGGGTGTCCATACGGACCATAGCCGCATCTGATTACGGCAGATCACGTTTGAGTGTTGCCGGAGGGGAGCCCCTAGAGCTCGTGGTTCACATTTTAAAGCCAAGTAAGTTTCTTAGTTAAATTTAAAGGTTGGGTGGAAGGGGCGGGGGGGGGGGGGGAAGCGAAGAAGCACAAGCCATTAAAAAAAAAAAAAAAAAAAAAAAATAAAAAATAAATTAAAGCCAAGTAAGTTTCTTAGTTAAATTTAAAGGTTGGGTGGAAGGGGCGGGGGGGGGGGAAGCGAAGTAGCACAAGCCATTTAAAAAATAAATAAATAAATAAAATAAGAACTAAAAGAAATTAACCTCAAACCACAAAATAGGTAATTACCAAGTATGTAAAGATACGTTGAAATCTTAAAATAGCATTATGCTATTCTCCAAACGCATGAACTTTTGTTTCTTAAAACAGATACAGTCAGAAACATCTACACGAAAGGGCTGAAAACAGTAATTATTATTGCTGTCCTAACATTTGTCGTTGTGGGCGGCACAGGTGTTGTGATACACGTCATCTGTCGCTGTAAGAATAAACTTTGTCATTGTTACTATTTCTTTTTTTTTACAAATCTTAAAACATATTATTGAAAGTCTGTACCTATAGTTAGGGGGATATTCCATAAGCCGTACCAACAAAGAAATGTTGTTGAAAACCACTTAATCTCACTCCTTTCTCCTTTGTTTCTGCTTATTTAATATTAGTTAAATTAACCTTTAGACGCAATCAGATATTCTAAAATTAAAGTAATTCATTTTTAAATTTGTTCAAATGTGTATACTAAACAATTTTTAAAAAGTCATAATTTAAACAATTTTTTTTTTATAGCAAGCAATTTATGAACCAATTGAAAAAGTTTTACTTAGATAAACGTATACATATATATATACACACATACGTTAATTTATGTGGATTTCTGATAGGTTTATATTTACTTTATGACTTAGTGTTACAATTAAATTCAATGAATTATTACCATAAACTATCTAACGTACGGTAAATGTGTTAAACATCATATGTATTATATGTGATGAAATCGTCTTTTAACATGATTTCATTTCGGCTTAAGTTTCATGAAAGAATTGTTCCATCTCTTTAACAGGTTTGCATAAACTGAGAGACGCTATAGTAGGGACCATTAGCGAACAGCAGACTACAGCACTTTGAAACTTCATCAATGGGAATCAACTTTCAAAACAAAACTTGAATAAATAAATAACATTTCTTCTACATGGTAATTATGAAAAAGATTTAAAATTATAATGAATCAAAATATTCATTGATTAACTATACCTTTATGAGTATGTGTTACATTTCCTAATAGTTTATAGGTAAGTATAGTGTATGTTTTTACTGAAAGGAGAAATTACATATGCAAATATGTTGAAATAAAATTTATAACGTTTTTTTGTGTGTCTTCAGTAGAATTTTTTTTTGAGAATCTAGCAAGAACCTGAAAATATAATTATTTGTTACTTTTTATGCAATGTTTTTATTGTCACAACACAAATGAACGTAAATTAATCAACGTAAATATTATAAACGGTTAAGAAAACATGATTTGAAATTTTTGTTTTTAAAATATGTATAGTTGTAATTCGTGTAATGGCGTATTCTAGTTCAGTAGTTAACGAAATTGGCAATATTTCTTGGAAACAACCCACCCCCCCCCCTTTTTCCCCCGGGGAAAAAAAAATAAAACAACAAAATTCTTTAGGTAAATGAAAAGATAGTTTTATGGGTTTTTTTTTAGGTCAGGGCTCTTATAACAGGGAGGGGTGACAGGGAGGTGAAATAAATGTTAAAAGTGGTCTCGTGGAAAGACAGTTTGAGAAGTGTTGCTCTGTCGAGACTGTCCTGCAAGTATTTGTATACGAGACACTGCATTTGGTTCTGTTACACGGGTGACGAAAGTTCCGATAAATTTGAACACTTTATTCATTTAATATCAAAAACATTTTTTTCTCTCTAATTCTCTCTCTAAAAAAAGAGTTATTATTTTATTTCAACACATAATTAATTAGGGCATTCATTTTACTGAACACTGCCATGTAAGTTATATATTTATATATCTAATCTTTTTTTAAAAAATTTAACTAACAATAAACAATACATAATTGTTCATGATTTTATTTCTGTTTTATTATTCTTCCTGACTGATTAATCTTTTATGGGTAACTTTTTAAAAAAATGCAAATGGATGTTTTACAGTATCATCTCTGTCTTCCCCATTGTTATTAAACAAGACCGTATATTAGAGTGAAAAAGTTCTCAAGCAATATCCACTTAGATTGAATATGTCAACCACGATTCGCACTCACTTCGAGTGTGTCCTTGATACCATAAGTGAAGTACTTGAAAAATTATTTTCAAAAAGACAAGGAAGAAAGCTAGAATGTTTATGAAAATTATATTTTTGACAAAAAATTGCCAATTCAAAATTGGGAAAAGAAAAGGGGGGGGGGCATGAAACAAATAGCTTTAATTATATGAATGAGAGAATATTTATTTAATTCTAATTTTCCACAATCTAGGCCAAGTCGTGTCAAAGATCTAATTTTCTTAATCAGTAGTTTTACTTTTTTTCTAGATAGTAATCTTATATGACATTTTTTGTCTCTTTAGTCTTTCTTAAATACATAAGCATATTTTACTTAAGCAATTTTATCAGATATTATTGGATATAACGCAAGACATGTATTTGTTAATTGATAAAATAATTATTGTTTGGTTACATTCGTTGATTTCACTGAAAGAAACATAACCTATTTACATAAGTGGTGTGTTAATAAGTTTAAAAAATCTACACAATTATTCTTTATACAACGTATTAAATGCGTTAAATGATATTACGTTGTAGAAATGACAACAAAAACTGACAAGTCTCAATGTTAATATAATGTATTCAACTTAAGATTGTTTAGTTAATAATACAAGTGCAAAACCGAAACCAGGAAAGACACAGTCAAAACACAATTTATTATAGAATATATACGTTGTACTTGTTAAAACAAATTAGCCCATTTCTCAGTAGCTGTAAAGTGCATTGATTCATAAGAAATTAAGCTAGTATTTTAGAGTTGAGTTTTTCGTTCGTTTTATTTTATATTTAAATGAGATGTCTTTGACTATTTATTTTATCTATTTATTTTTAATTTTAAGAAATTAAACACATTATGTATTCAATTATTTATTAGTGTTCATTTTGTTTAGATTGTTAATGTTGGTTTTTAACCTATAGAAAATAATAACAAGTTACAATTCAATTATAGATACAAATTAATTTTATTATTTTAATGTTTTTTGTTTTTTTTTTAAATAACTATTTTAAGTCAATTTGAAAAAAGAAAGGAATAGTTTTTGATCGTTTAAAAAAATCAATCAATTGCTTACCTTCATTGCTTTATGAACTGCAAATTAATCCGGGACTAATATCCTAAGTGATGCATTGTGATATCTTTTAGAAATCAATAATTATTCAAGAAGTTTTTTGTTGTTGTTTTTTTAATTATTTTTTTTAAACAATTAAATATTTGCAATTCTTTCAATATAAGTTTTTGCCTTGCCCCAAGAGCACAACATGGTGAATAGAATGCATATGGTTGAAGACGATGTAGGCAATGACCTGGATCATCATTTAAGGCACGCTGCTAAGATAAAGACGTTCACTAAAACCGATTCTTTAACACATTAAAGTCATTATCCCTATGGCTACATCAACAATCGAAACTAAACAAGTTTAAAAATTCATGGAAAATTTTATATATTTTCTTTAATTAAGTTTACAGTTTGTGTATCACTAAAAATATTTGAAACATATTTCAACCATACAATCCTTGAGGCATATTAAAACTGTTATTCTCATGGTTAAAAATCTAAACAAGTATTAACGATTTTAAGTAAGGCTAAAAAAAAAATTACTTTATTCTTTCGTCACTTTAAGTTCTAGAAAATTAATATATAAAGATAATAATCTATGTAGGGTTTAATGTGATTATACTATGCACTCATCAAACCTTGTTACAACTAACCGAAGTGAGTCTTGTAGTACCGTTGAATGGCTGATTTTATTTGAATTAAATGCCCTCATATCGTTTGGTGTTTATCAATAAGAATATTTTGGGTTTTTTTTTGTTTATGAAAACCAGTTCTAACCATACCCCCCTCTCCACAGCGCCTTCTATGGCATTACATTCATTAAAACAAGATCATTTAAAAACAAAAATTTATACAAAATTCGTTGCCTACACTAAACTGGTAACGTGATTAACTCCATTCTTTGTAAAAGTGGCTAAAATAAATACTTAGGGGAGAACAATCATCACATTGGAGACCGTTTCGGTGAACAACCGTGCAACAGCAGTAAACAAGCCCTTTTGTCCCTGTTCTAAACAAGTCAAAAGGGCTAAATTAATAAGTGCTATTGGTATATAGAATGTGAATAATACACAAGATAGAGGAGGTTATTTAAAGACAAATTAAACACAGTTTTATTCCATCCCTTCCTCTCATCTAAATTTTACGTTAGGAACCCTGGCCCATTTTATTCATTTCTTCATCTTAATATATATATATATATATAT